GAGGGAGGGTTGGAGGGAGGGAGCGGAGAGGCAGAGAGGTAGGCAGCCCAGACAGATGCCAGAGGTGGTTGGCTTGTCCCAGGGCCTCCCCAGGACCTGAGTGAGACCCCCGTTGAGTCTGTGTTGTGACCTAGTGTCTAGGAAACCTCATGATGGCTGGGTGTGGTCTGATAAAGACACCCGGAAAGGTCATCAGAACAGCAAGGGTGATCTTCACTGGGTGCTTTGCACCGTAGGCTTCTGCCCCTCCCTTGCGCTGGATTCACCCCTGTGGGAGAGCCAGGTTCTGTATTGTAAGCTGAGGCCCCTCACTCTTGCCTACTGCCTGGCCCTGGTGACTCCAGAACCTCCCCAGGAGGAATGCCTGCTTCTCATTCAGTCAATGGCCTGTCTAGTCTGCCTCCAATTCATGAACATCAATTGAATCCTTGTTTGAAAAAAAAAGACATTTGGGGAAATTGGAATGTGAGCTGAAAGTTAGGGGAGGAGTGTTGATTTTCCCAGGTGTAGAAATTATGTTATGGTTACAGGGTAATCTCGACAAACAGCCCAATCTTGGGAGGCGATGCTGATGTGTCACGATGCCTGTGATGTCGTACAGTCAAGTCATTCAGAAAATGTTGCATGTATATATGCACACACACGTACAGATGGGGCAGAAATGGCAAAACAGCAACAATCTTTGTGTGCAGGGGGGAATTTATGGCTGTTTATTGCACTTTTCTTCCAATTTTATTACCTGTCTGAGCAATTCATAATTTATAAGTTGTGGGAGAGTGGTAGACCACATGCTTAGCATGCATGAGATCCTGGGTTCAATCCCCAGCAGCTCCTCTAAAATTAAATAAGCCTAATTACCTCCCCACTGCCAAAACAAAATAATTAAATAATACAAAGATACAAAAATAAAATAAAATGTTAAAAAAAAAGAGTTGGGAAAAATCTAGCTTAAAACTCACTTTTTGCAGGAAGCCTTCTCAATTCATTCTATCTGGTGGGTTCAACTGGCCCCTCAGCACCTCTGCCCACGTGTACCCGTGGGTGGTGCTGTGGCCTTTCTCCACTGAGCAGGGCACGTGTGCTGGGCGGGTCTGGGGTCTGGAGGCTGAAGCC